GAAAATAAATAATTAGAAGAATAAATTAAAGATTAAATATATTTATTTATAGCTGTTATGAGCTGTACATTATGTGTAAATAGAGGGTGTCACCAACAAATTTTCTCCTCAAACCAGAATTTTGTTTGGATTTCTCCAGAATTTGTTAGATTGTTAGAAGTAGCAGATTTGTATATATATGTGTGAATCATTCATCAAGAAAATAAGAAGCAGAATATTTTCCTTTCAATTTTCTTCAAGGTATCAGAGCATACTTGATCCAAGATGAAATCAAACCCTGCTGAGCCGTAATCAGAAATGGCCTCAGGTGAGCTTCCATCCTCTCCACCAGAAGTTTCCTCTGGTTCTTATCACCACACAGCAACAACCAGAGCTGTGAGTGAGCGACCATTATTCTGTATCACAGGACACAAACTCGACGGCAACAACTTCCTTCAATGGTCGTCGTCTGTCTGTCTTTTCACCCGCGGAAGAGGGCGTTATGGGCACCTCACTTGCGAGCTCGTGTCTCCTCCAGCGTCCAATGCAAATGCACAAACCTGGGAGATCGAAGACAGTATGGTCATGTCTTGGCTTATCACTTCAATGACCATTGAAATCGGAGAGAATTTCCTTCTCTACGAAACTGCTCACGAAATCTGGAAGGCAGCACAGGAACTCTACTCCAGCAAGTAAAATACCTCCGCAATATTCGAAATCGAGTCAATTCTTCATGACCTTCGGCAAGGAGAACTCAGTGTCACCTAGTATTACAGTATCCTTAGTCGAAGTTGGTAATAGATGGACGCCTTTGACGGGCGTCGTTGGAACTGTCCCGAGGATGCGAAAAACTTAAGAGCTTTCGTGGAAGAAAAGCGGATCTTCAAATTCCTGCTAGAGCCGAACAAAAATCTCAACGCGATTCGGAGACGTGTTCTGAGCACTAAGCCTTTGCTGAGTCTTCGGGAAGGATTTTCTGAGGTTCGACGCGAGAAGAGTCGTCGGAAGATCATGATGGGAGAGATTGACCAACCTCATCCGACTGAAAATTTTTTAGCTCTTACAACCCGAGTGATTGACAGTCGAACGAAAAAGACAAGGCCCTAGTGCGATCACTGTCGAAAGCTAGGGGACACTCGGGAACGTTACTGGAAGCTTGACAGCAAGCCAAGTGACAGGAAACCACCTTTGGGTGAGTGGAAAACGTTGAAAACAGAGACCTCCAGCAAGCATACAGGAAATCACGTGATGGCTGAGGAAGTAATTTTTGATGAGATGGAAAAAGATCCATTTACCCCCGAGCAGTTGGAAGCCCTCCAACGTATTTTGTCCAAGAAATCTCACCCGGTCAGTGCTTCTGTGGCACACAAAGGTAATATTCTTGGCTTATTTGTTTTTTCAGAAAAAGGACAGGTGTGGGTGGTAGACTCTGGAGCATCTGATCATATGAGTGGAGATTTCTCAATGTTCCAAAATTACAGAAGATGTGAAGAAAATATTTCAATCAGAATTGCAGATGGTTCTCTCTCAAAAGTGGCAGGAATGGGTTCTGTAAATTTGTTTTCAAATTTGACTTTCTGTTCAGTTTTTCATGTTCCAAATTTGGATTGTAATTTGTTGCCTGTCAACAAGTTATGTGAAGATTTGAAATGTGCTACAAAATTTGTTTCTAATATGTATAATTTTCAAGATTTGGACTCGGAGAGGACGATTAGCAGTGCTAGGATGAGCTTAGGATTATATTTGTTTCAAGTCAACACTTCTAAAAGACAACCCCATAATGCATAATGTGAAAACTCTGTTTCTATTTTCGAAAATAATGACCATGATATTATGTTGTGGCACTATAGAATAGGACATCCAAACTTCATGTACTTCAAAAAGATGTTCCTACTACTATTTAAAGGAAAAGATCTAGTTTCATTACAGTGTGAAGTTTGCCAATTTTCTAAACATACTCGAAGTTCATTCCCTAACCTACCGTATAAACCGTCTAAACCATTTGCATTAATTCACAGTGATGTTTGGGGCCCTTGTGGGGTTTCCAACATTTCCGGAACTAAGTGGTTTGTATCTTTTATTGATGACCATACAAGAATCACTTGAGTATTTCTCATGAAGAAAAAATCTGAAATGGGATCCTTGTTTAAAAAATTCCATACAATGATTCGAACCCAATTTCATGCTACCATCCAAGTATTGAAATCCGACAATACTTGTGAATATTTTGAAAATACTTTTGAAAAATACTTTGCTAAATATGATATTATTCATCAAAGCTCATGTATTCATACTCCACAGCAAATGGTATAGCCAAAAAGAAAAATAGACATATTCTTGAAGTTGTCAGATCACTCATGTTCACCATTTATGTACCAAAATATCTTTGGGGAGAGGCTATTCTTTTAGCTACCTATTTGATTAATTGGATGCCCTCTCGTATCCTACAATTTCAATCACCATATACTATCATCTCAAAAAATTTTCCCAATTCACACATTTTAAACTCTTTGCCACTTAAAGTTTTTGGTTGTTCAGCATATGTCTACGTTCATAAACATCTTCATAGGAAATTAGACCCAAGAACAATAAAATGTATTTTTGTTGGGCACTCAGCAAATAAAAAAGGATACGAATGTCTAGTTCCAGAAACCCGCCGATTTTATAACACAATGGACGTCACATTTTTTGAGAACCAACCGTTTTATCCCACTACTGATATTTAAGGGGAGACATTCACTCAGGAATATCAGTTATGAGATATGAGTGTACCTCCTCTCTACCCACAAAATCTACTACCAGACAAATTTTCCATGGAGACTGAATCCAAAACCTCACAAAAGAAATCAAAACCAAAACCAGTTACAGAAAACACATTACCTACAACGAGTGAGCTATGTGTCTATGTGCGAAGAAACAAAGGAAAAACACCTGAATCATCCAAGCACTGCCATGAATCCACCGCTGATCCAGGTAACGTAATGTCTGTACCAACTCTTGATTATGATATTCCTATTGCTTTGATGAAGGGTACTCGGACATGCACCAAATATCCTATACAACACTATGTTTCATTGGACAAATTATCCTCGGAATATCATGCTTTTATGTGCAGGATAGACAGCAATTCATCTGAAACCAGAACAATACATGAGGCCTTAGAAATTCCAAAATGGAAGTAAGCTATCCTAGATGAGATCAAGGCACTTTAAAAAAATGAGACATGGGAGCTAACTGATCTTCCTCTAGGAAAGCGTCAAGTGGGATGCAAATGAGTCTTTACAACCAAATATAATACAGATGGGAGTGTGAATCGGCTTAAGACTCGCCTGGTAGCCAAAGGCTATACACAATCATATAGTGTAGACTAGCAAGAGACGTTTGCACCAGTTACCAAGCACAATACTATTCGGGTACTCCTCTCACTTGCATCTAACCTTGACTGACCACTGTGTCAACTAGATGTAAAGAATGCATTTCTTAATGGCGATTTGGAAGAAGATAAATATAACACCAGGGTTCAAATTAATTGCCAATTCTCAGAAAGTATATAAATTGAAGAAATCATTCTATGGCCTAAAACAATCTCCAAGGGTATGGTTTGACAGATTCACAAGAATCGTAAAACATAAAAGATATGAACAATGTCAATCCGATCATACATTGTTTGTCAAACACTGCATCTCAGGTAAGAAAGCTATTTTGATTGTATATGTTGATGATACCATTGTTACAGAAGATTACCTTGAGGAAATTCATAAACTTAAAGAATTCTTGGCCAAAGAATTTGAAATAAAAGATCTTGGGGTACTGAAGTACTTTCTCGGTATGAAAGTGGCTAGATCAAAAAAGGGAATTTCAGTTTCTCAACGAAAGTACATTCTGGATCTCCTAAAAGAGACTGGAATGCTAGGAAGCAAACCCACTGACACCTCGATGAATTCAGTCATCAAACTTGGATCCAGAATCAGTGATAAAATGGTTGACAAAGGGAGATACCAAAGACTTGTTGGGAAACTTATTTACTTGGCTCATATAAGACCAGACATCAGTTTTGCAGTAAGTACAGTAAGTCAATTCATGCATCAGCCAACTGAAGATCACATGAGTGCTGTGTATTGGATTCTGAGGTACCTCAAGAAGACTTCAGGATAAGGTTTATTCTTTTAGAAGACAGATAGAAGAGGTATTGAAATCTACACAGATGCGGATTGGGCAGGTTCTACAGATGACAGGAGATCTACATTAGGATATTGTACCTATGTTTAGGGTAACCTGATTACCTGGAGAAGCAAGAAACAATCAATTGTGTCTTGCAGCAATGCAGAATCTGAATTTAGAGCATTTGCTCATGGTATTTGTGAAGGTGTTTGGTTGAAGAGAATACTTGAAGAATTAAAAGTTTTCAACAATATGCCTACGAAAGTGTGGTGTGACAACCAATCACTAATCAATATGGCAAAAAATCCAGTACATCATGATAGAACCAAACATGCGGAGATCGATCGTCATTTCATTAGAGAGAAATTGGAAGAGGAGACTATAACTCAGATGCACATTTCAATGAATCAACATATCGCAGATATTCTAACGAAAGCTCTTCCCAAGAAAACATTTGATGACATAATATCCAATTTAGGGTTACTCAATATATACGTAAACTAGATTGAGGGGGAGTATAGAAAATAAATAATTAGAAGAATAAATTAGGATTAAATACATTTATTTACAGCTGTTATGAGCTGTACATTCTCTGTAAATGGAGGGTGTCACCAACAAATTTTCTCCTCAAACCAGAATTTTGTTAAGATTTCTCTAGAATTTATTAGATTGTTAGAAGTAGCAGATTTGTATATATATGTGTGAATCATTCATCAAGAAAATAAGAAGCATAATATTTTTCTCTCAATTTTCTTTATAATCTTTTAAATTTCTTGAAATATCTTTATTTGTGGAGTCCTTCGAAACCACTGCATCAATTAGGTTGTGACAACAGCAATCCTCATGTTACTGCACCAAGTTGTATTCATCCTCTATTTGAAAAGAATGCATCAATATTTAACTTATACATTCCCGTTCACATCAATGACCAAGCTAGAGAAACACTAGCTTGTCATTCCATTATTCATTTCCTAGCCTAAAACTTGAGAGGTATTTAATTCCTCTATCTATTATTTCAAAAAAAAAAAACTTGCGTCTAATCCAATTTGCACTTTTGTTATTCAATCAAATTATGCAGTTCAGTTGATTTGTGTTGATGAATACAACAATGATTAGGTCCAATGAAAGTTATGTCAAAGAAAAATGTAGAAAATGTTAGAATAATGGTAGTTTAGTATTTACTCTTTTTGGATAGGTGGAATGTCCACCACCACCACCAGATATTGGTTATGTTTGCTTTTTTCTTTTTTTCTCTCACACTCTCGCCTTTAGTGTGACATCAGGGCAATGAGTGCCTATAAATGGCACGTCACCCTCTCTGTTTTAAGCAAGCAAGGAAGAAGAGAAGAACATCTCATTTTATCTCTCTCAAACTCTGCTTCCATTAAAATCATCATGGTATCAGAGTATCTTTGATCTAGAAATCTCCTTCCGCTTGCACCAGATTCTTCAATGGCCATGGATGACCGAAACTCTTCATCACCCGAAGTTATTTCGGGTACGTATCTCTCCAACTCCATCAACACTGGAATGGTGGAGCAACATTCATCGTTCATCACCAGCCATCGATTCAATGGTGATAATTACCTCAAATGGTCGACGTGTGTGTGGCTATTCATCTGAGGGAAAGGACGCGATGAATATCTCACGGGAGAAGCTCCAGAACCTCCATCGAATGACCCACATGCTCGGACTTGGAAAATCGACAACAACATGGTAATGTCCTGGTTGCTAAGCTCCATGACTCCCGAAATTAGTAAAAATTTCCTCTTGTGCGAGACAGCTCACGAAGTCTGGGAAGCTGCTCGTGAGTTTTACTCTAGCCGCAAAAATACCTCAGTAATTTTCGAAGTCGAATCCATCATTCACGAGATGCGGCAAGGTGAGTTGAACGTTACTCAATATTATAATTCTCTCACCCTCAACTGGCAGATGCTCGACGTCTTCGAAGATCATCAATGGAGTTGCCCAGAAGATGCTAAGAAATACAGAGAAATTGTGGAGCAGAAAAGAATCTTTCGGGTTTTCCATGGGGCTCAACAAAAGCCTGGATGAAGTGTGGGGCCAAGTTCTAAGCTCGAAACCACTGATGGGTATTCGTGAGGTCTTCTCTGAAGTTCGGTGAGAAGAAAGCAGGAAGAAATTGATGTTGGGAGAACCTCAGTCGACTCAGCTGAGTGAGAATGCTTCTGCTTTTACTTTTCACGTCTCTGATTCCCGTGGAAAGAAAGGGTGTCCGTTTTGTGAGTTCTACAAAAAGCCATGGGACGTTCGTGAGAAGTGTTGGAAGCTTCATGGGAAACCAGGAGAGAAGAGGATCACCAAGACACCTCACAAAAACTTGGCGACTTCGGAAGAGTCCTCTGTTCAGCCCGAAAGTGCTCCCTTCAGTCCATAACAAATGGAGGCACTGGTGAAGCTTTTTTTGTCGAAAATGAGAAGTCTGGGTAATTCCTTTGCCTCTGTTGCCCAAAAAGGTAAATAACCATTTGGTTTATCAGCATGGTTTCATAAAAAATAGATTTGGATTGTGGATTCTGGAGCATCTGACCATATGACAGAAAATCAGTCACTGCTCGGTGATTATCTTGAATGTAAGGAAGATTTATTAATTAAGATTGCTGATGGTTCAAGTTCTAGAGTGGCAGGAATTGGCTTCACAAAAATATCATCTTGCTTGACATTCAACTCGGTTTTTTATGTGCTTAATTTGGATTGCAATTTTCTGTCCATTAGTAAATTGTGTAAAGACATGAATTGTATGGTGAAATTTGACAATCATTCTTGTGTATTTCAGGACTTGGTTTCGGGGAAAGATGATTGACAATGCTAGGATGGATTCAGGTCTCTACTATCTTGCAGTTCACCCACCTACCTCAAGTAGACAAGCTTCTAATGTTTTATGTGTTAATTCGGTTTTTATAGATTGTTAAAACGATGATCACACAATTATGTTGTGGCATTATCAATTAGGCCACTCAAATTTTTTGTACTTAAAGCAATTATTTCCTATTTTATTCAAGAATAAAAATTCACTTTCATTTCAATGTGAAGTGTGCCAATTTTCAAAACACACTTGCAATTCTTTTCCTAATGTATCATATAAACCCACACAACCATTTGTTCTAATCTATAGTGATGTTTGGGGACCTTCACGAGTCAAAACTATTATTGGAAAAAAATGGTTTGTATCTTTTATTGATGACCATACTAGAATTACGTAGGTATTTCTCATGAGAGAAAAGTCTGAAGTGAACCAAATATTTCAGAGATTTAATACTATGATTCAAAACAAGTTTTTTACCGCAATACAAGTACTGAAACCGATAATGCATGTGAATACTTTGAATCCACTCTAGGAGAATATCTTAATAATCAAGGTATCCTCCATCAAAACTCTTATATATACACCCCACAACAAAATGACATAGCCAAAAAAAAAAAATAGACACATTCTTGAAGTTGCCATATCATTGATGTTTACAACCCATGTTCCTAAATTTTTGTGGGCCGAAACCATTCTTACCGTTACCTACTTGATCAATCGAATGCCCACTCAGATACTAAATTTCAAAACTCCTTATAAAGCTCTCCTTCAGCCATTTCCAAAATCTTGTGTTTTAAATACTATCCCATTGAAAATATTTGGCTGCCTCGCTTATGTTCACACTCACCTAGGGGGGAAACTTGATCCAAGGGCTCTTAAATGTGTATTTGTTGGTTATTTCTCAAATAAAAAAGGATACAAATGTTTTTTCCAAGGTATTCATCGTTTTTACAATACTATGGATGTAACCTTATTTGAGAATCAATTATTTTATCCCTTAACTAATATTCAGGGGGAGAATTTCACTCAAGAATATCAGTTGTGGGATATAAGCCCTTTGCTACCTCAAATTCCGTTGACATATTCTCAGAATATTCATATCTAGGAAATCACAGAAAAACCAGAACCCACCACAGATACTAATGATATAGATACTGATGGCACATTATCTGCAAAAAGTAAGCTACGAGTATACACAAGGAGAAATAAGACTCAAGATAGTAGAATTCTTGAATCAAGCACGTAAAGTCATGAGTCAACTCTTGGACCGAACACTCATAATACTACAGGTAATGAAATTTCTGACTCATTGGTTAATATTGACACTAATGCTGAACTTTCTATTGTTTTGAGAAAAGGTGTCCGGTCTGGCACCGTGCATCCTATACAGGATTGTGTGTCATATGACAAGTTGTCTCCAACATATAATGCATTTGTTAGTAAGCTCGATAACAACATTGTCCCAAGAAGTGTTCATGAGGCACTTGAGTTCCCAGAATGGAAAACCACAATCCAAGAAGAGATCACAGTGCTTGAGAAGAATGAGACATGGGAACTATCTGATCTACCTTCAGGGAAAAAGGCTATAGGGTGCAAATGGATTTTCACCACAAAGTATAATCCTGATGGAACCGTGAGTCGTCATAAACTCGCATTGTTGCCAAAGGCTTCACTCAGTCATATGAGATTGACTATCAAGAAACTTTTACTCCAGTTGCTAAACATAACACAATACGGGTTCTTTTCTCTTTGGCTTCAAATCTTGATTGGCCTCTTCATCAACTGGATGTAAAAAATGCTTTCCTCAATGAAGATCTAGAAGAAGAAGTTTACATGGAATTCCCTCCTGGACTTAGCATCGGATCTAAGAAGGTATGCAGATTAAAAAAGTCTCTCTATGGTCTTAAGCAACTTCCGAGAGCATGGTTTGAGAGATTTTCAAGGGCAGTGAAACAAATGAGATATGTTCAATGTCAGTCTGATCACACACTTTTTGCCAAAAGCAGTGCCACGGGGAAAAAATCTATCCCTATTGTATATGTTGGTGACATTATCTTAACAGGTAATGATGATAAAGAAATTCTGGAACTTAAAAAGTTTCTAGCCAAAGAATTCAAGATCAAAGACCTTGGGTTACTTCAATACTTTCTTGAGATAGAAGTAGCTCAATTTAAGAAGGATATCTCTGTTTCACCACGTAAATATGTCTTAGATCTTTTAAAGGAAACAAATATGCTTAGTTGTAAATTTGTAGGAACACCGATGGAGTCCAATGTCAAAATCAATCTAAAAAATGATAGCAAACCTGTTGATAAAGAGAGATACCAGAGACTTGTTGGCAAACTTATCTATCTTGCTCATACAGATCTAATGTCAATTTTGCTGTGAGTACTGTAAGTTAGTTTATGGCTGAACTAATTGAAGAACATATGAATGCCATTAATGGATTCAGAGGTACTTAAAATGACCCCTAGTCAGGGGTTGTCTTCCAGAAAACAATAAACAGAGACATTGAGATCTTCACTAATGCTGATTGGGCTGGATCATTGACTGATAGAAGATCAACAATTGGCTATTGTACATATGTGTGGGGCAACCTAGTCACTTGGCGAAGTAACAAACAGTCAGTTGTATCTAGAAGTAGTGCTGAAGTTGAATTGAGGTCTCTTGCTCATGGAATATGGGAAAGTGTATGGCTGAAGAAGATTCTATCTGAACTAAACTTTTGTATTCCTAATCCTATAAAACTCTGGTGTGACAATCAATCAACCATCAGTATGGTTAAAGATCCAGTGCATCATGATAGAACCAAGCATGTGGAGATTGATTGTCATTTCATTGAAGAGAAGATAGAAGACAAGACCATTACTCTACACTATAGTTCTACTGATCTTCAGACTGCTGATATCCTTACAAAGGCACTATCAACAGGAAAATTTAATAACATTGTATCCAATTTAGGATTACTCAATATATATATGTAACCTAGATTGAGGACAAGTGTAGAAAATGTTAGAATAAGGATAGTTTAGTATTTTCTTTCTGAACAGGTGGAATGTCCACCACCACCACCAGAAATTGGTTACGTTTGTTGCTTATTTTTCATTTTTTTGTTTTTCTCTCACACTCTCACCTTTGGTGTGACATCAGGGCAATGAGTGCCTATAAATGGCACCTCACCCTCTCTGTTTTAAGCAAGCAAGAAAGAAGAGAAGAGCCTCTCATTTTATCTCTCTCAAACTCTGCTTCCATTAAAATCTTCAAAAAACTCAACATCAATCATTCGTGGGAGGATATTATCTATACATATAATTTGGATAGATATTATCCAGAGTAGGTGACCATTAATTTGCAATTTTTTCTTCTTTGCTTGTCATATCCGTGGATCCCCGTCATATAATGTGCTAATGGGTGAGTGGAATTTACGGGAGAATATATCTCTGTGGACTCATTTTCCTGGTGTATAGAGGGGTCACCTTTTTATCTCTGTAAATCCATGGCTGTCATGCCATTAAGGCAAAAAGTAAGGTAATAGTGGCTTTCTTAAAATGCATTGGATGAGTATAACGTCTTGAAAGACATGATCAGTTCTGGGTAGCTTGTAGTATAAATAATTTGTATGAATCATATGAATTAAAACATGGAGGAAGCGGAATGGGTTAGCCTTTTACCTACGTGCTGATGCGTGAATGCCTCGATTGAAACCAATGAGCTTTGTTTTTGGAAGATTTATCCCAAAACCGTGGAGACACTTCTGGAGACAGCAGAGACCTTGAAGATTATTCCTCATGACTAATTGTTTATTTGATAT